ACGTATAATACCGACTTGCTTGTTATATACACAAGTAAGTAATATCTAGCATAAATATATATTACCGTAATCTTCATTCTAAATATAAAGTAAATAAGCTTACAAAGCACCAAGACAATGCTTTTAATATCTGCGGTCGTTCTAATAAATTTCTTTCTTAAGAGTTGTATTGTGATGTTCAATTTAGTGGTGATGCATTAAATATTCATGGACATTTGTCCTGAGATACCAAACCATGTTTGATATGAAATGATGATACATGTTTTATGCTAATTACGATTATGAAATATTATCCTCTTTGTCTGTGTACATGTTTAAAGCAACATTTCAGATAATGTGCTAAAAAGCTATAATAGAAAAGATTGTAGAAGCTATAAAAAGCTGCTTCTAGTTGTCAAACACGTTACAGAATTAAAGTGGTAGGGATGAATTTACATAGCAGCAGGAATAATCTAGTTCTGATCTTCAAAATCAGTCATTATTTCACCTAACAAAGCGGGAAGAGCGAGGAAATGATCTTGATAGCCACAAGTGTTTCATCCTTATTATTAAAACAAAGACGCCATAGCATGGAAAGTGCATCAAAGCCACAGCCAAGTACCTGAATTTGAAGATTACACCTTATGCATTTCCATTAATGGGTTATGTTAAACTTTATGAAGCAATGAGAAGAAAATTACCATAAGGGTGCATAGGGAGAGGATAGATCAAGGAAAGGATAAGGCCACCTGTAACAGAGGTTGGTAAGTTATGAAAGGAACAAATTCTCTTGGACTAAAACAGGGGATAGAAGAATTTACCAAAGTGAAACGCAAACGTGGATGATCCACTGAAAAATCACAAAAGTAGCCGTCCACAACACAAAATATGCAAATCGAAACATTGGAAATCTCTGCACTTGTTAACAATAAATACTTGTCTTATTATTCTTCAATTATATTTCAAGTTTTATATCACATATATGTCTAATCAAGAATTACGTAATATAAATACGTATTGCTCCTACAAACTCTAACACAAACGACAGAATCATACAAACAAAATTTGTTTAAATTGTTTCCTAAACAGTAATAATAATTATTGGGTGATTAATAGGGGTCCTTGAAATCATTGCTTTGATTTTATTTAAGATAAATTTATTATAAAAACTTTGCAATTTTATTGAAAATTAAAAGCATTTATAGAACATCTTTTAATCCTAAAATATCCAAAAAAAAAAGAGTAAAATTAACATAATGAATTTGATTCAAATAAAAACAAAAATGTGTATAAACCTAAAACTCACCATGCAATTCAATGACGTGTCACCGAGGAGGAAAAGCGCATTAATTGAGTGCATGCAAAAAACCAACTGCAAAATGACGAAAAAGCAAATATTTTCAGATGAAAGAAAGACGGGCCTAACATTTGCAATTTAACATTTTATATGTTTGGACCATCTTCTTAATTAAAAAATAATAATATTTTAAATATAAATAAAATTAGTTTATGTATAAGTTAACTTATAAAAAATTTATTTATTTTTAACATGTATTTATGAAAAAACTAATTTCTTGAGAAAAAGAAATCCTGCAAACATGATAAATAAAGAATTTCGAAACAATCATGGTGCTCTTATAGTTTATTTTGAAAAATGAATTTAATGATAAAAAAAGTGTAAAAGGAAATTAACAAAAGTACTGTAACTAATATAGAAAAAATATTTTTATTTGTTTAGTATTGAAGGAGAAGTAATAATATTTATGTGAAGCTAGGTGGAAAGTTGAAACATTTTTTTTATGATATTTGAAGAATTTGGCAGGAAAAAGGATAAATGAGAGAGAAAGGAGAATGTTGATTATACTTACAAAATCAACACTATAATCTTTGGAGGAGCTGAGACGAGGATAAAGGATGAACCAGAACACTGAATCCGTTAACACCACAGCACCTGCACAACTCTATATATTTAAAAGAAAAATCAAAAATAAAAACAAATTAACCACACCCCAACAAAACCAAAAAAAAAACATTCTCTTTTGGTTTTAAGATATTATGCTTGATAAGGAAAAAAAGTTGAAAAAAACTCCCAATTACCTGAAATATAATTTGAAAAACGTAACCCCATAAAGAAGCAATTTTTCTATCATGGGTAACAATACCAACTTCTGCATCATTCACTGTGATTTTATCTTGTTTCAGGGAACATCCATATAAGGAGAAATATGATCCTAGCTGAAAATCAATTTCAGATAACAGAAAACAAAAAACAACTAAATTAGTGCATTTTCAATTTTTCATACTAATATTTTCTGCTACATCTATCAGAGTCGGCAATGTGAAGCTTTACCCCAAAGTAAATAGTCACCAATGTAAAGGTCCATCTGCTCAGCACAAGAAAACAGAAAACGATTAGAACCCTTCTGGATTTGAAAAATTTTAAATTTGGTTTTGGTTCTCTAAAGGGTATTTTGTAATAGTTTATAATCACTGTTAAATGTTAATTATGATTACTTTATAATAAAGGTGACATCATTTTTAAACCAGAAATGAGAGATTTTGTTAGATACATTGTTAATGTTAAGGCAGTTTTGATTGAACAAAATAAGACAGAACATGGTTAACCAAAGTAGCTTACTGAGTGTAGAAGTAAAATATGACTGCACCATCTGCAGCAACACTGGCAATGATCAAAGCCAAAAGCACAATAAAACAAATTACTCTATAAATTAGCAGCCATGAAGGATCAATTCCTATGAGACAGGTATTCCATGCCTCGTCCTCATGTAACAATTCTGTTTCTTCTCCTTCGCTTTCAACACTGTTTGATCTTGATTTGTTGAATCCTTCATACTTGAATATCAAGAAAAATGCCAGAGCCATGGATCCTAAAATCCATAGAGCACAAAATAAGAACCTCCAGTTCAACCAATAACTTAAGGCAGTGGTGTCTGCACTCTTGGTGGGTTGCCATGAGTGGCTAGAAGGCCAGGATAAGAAACTCATGGCTTCAGAAATAAATGTTCTTCTTGATGAGTTTCTTAGAACAACACTAGGCACAGTGGTGGGAGGATCATGCTTTTGATTACCCTTTTCAATTATAACATTCAGTTCCGATTACAACACTGCAATAGCAAGATAAAATGGATGAAAAGTCTACAAAGACACCACAAAGATAAGCAACATTGAACACGTGTAAAGAAAGATATGAATTTCATCATGCATGCAAACAGAAAATGGGAAATAAAAAGCATGGATTATGTATATAGGAAAGTAATCAATCACCTCTAGCACATTGTTAGAAAAGAATGTAGTATGAGCTACTTCACAGATGAATGTAATCAGAACTGAAGCAGAAAATTGAAACTCAGGTGGGATGGGAAAGAATGAGTGTAAACTAAGGTGAGATAGAAAAGAAGACTGATGATGAATTTTTGAAGGCAATGAAATGTAGATTCCTTACTTGAGAAGGGTTCGTCCCAATGTTCGAAAAGTTCATTACTTGATCCAATTGGAGAAAGAACAAAATAAAATAGGTGTGGAACTCACTGTTTACAAGTAAAATTTAGAGGGCAGAAGATGCTTTGCTTTATTCTTTTATGTGAGTGCAGAAGGAATTTGATGACTATATAAGAAGAGGAAGGGTAATAATAGAGCAGACAAAAACAATATACGCTATTCACAGCATTTCCTACTTTTTCTTAAAGCTAAATTCAGTTTGAAGCTTCAAGTTTTTGCATTGAATCTTTGAGTCTGAATATGATGTGCCAAATTCTTGGTTCCTGTTATTTTATTCTTTTACGTGTGTTTGAGTTTGGTCAGTCTTTCAGTTAAGTTTTCGTGAAGAGAATAAACTGGCTAGTTCAGAACATCAATTTTGAATGACAGAGTATATTTTTTAATTAAAACTTCCTATGTTGTTATTTATAAGTCTATTACAGCTAAATAGTATTTTCTGGCCATTATTTCAGTGTATATAAAATATCCTTTCTACTACACTTTTCTCAAAATGAATTCTTCCTGTCGTTTATTGTGTGATCCATAACAATCTAACCTCATTTGGTTCATTTAATAACAATTCAATTCACTCATTAATAGTTTTTTTTTTTCAATCTAAAATCATATTTTTTAAATATTAAAAAAATTAATTATTGATAAATAAATTTAATGAAACGAGAGATTCAAATGTTAGATAAAATTTATCAAAATTCACAATTTTCAATAAATCAAAATTAGTATGATTAAAAGAATATTATATTTCATTTTGAACTACGTTTGTAAATCGCGTTCACAATTTCTTTATATACTACATTTTTGTAAATTGAATTATAATGTGTTTAGTTGCATAAAATAGTAAATAAGATTTCAATATCCATGCAATTTCTTATCTAAATTTTAATTGCCTACGAAAGAATTCATATACATGTACAAAATCAAATTACATTTTTCTTACCAAAATAAAAAAAAAAAACCATTTCGTTAGCTAAGAGGTTACTCAAATATTTAACATAATAAAAGTTTAAATAATTAATAAAAGTTCATTTATACTCTCACATTTAACATTTGAAATGAGCAGATATACTATTTTACAACGTTTTAATGCGCTCTCGTGTGGGGTTTCTTTTATAAGAAAAAGCGTTTTACTTTTTTAACGTGTATTCTTGAAGTAGCGACAAAATGAAAATGTATAATATATTAAAAAAGAACCGTTTAATTAACAGAATTTTAGAAGTGATTTGATTTAGATGAATTAAACCACAATATATCGTATTAATAAATTTAATCAAAACGAACTACTCTGAATTAATATTTAATCACTTAAATTATCTAAATCATTCAAATTATAATCAATAAATGTGTCATTTTAAAACATATATTCAATTTCATAAATTATAGTAAAACTTAAAAATATTATTTAGGAACAATTCAGTTTTTTAAAACAAAATCTAAATAACATTTTTTTCATGCAAATGCCGTTTTTTTTAAAACAAATCTAGTTATTTAGGTATGAGATAACTTATTTCCTTTTTTACTCAATTTAATATTTTAAGCCTGCTATTTTTCTCAATTCAAATGCTCTTGAAATTACCATTTTTAATGTCGAATTAAGTATTTACTCAAATGGTCTTTGTTTTAGCTTTTTGACAATCATATCAATGCCTAATGATCCGGGTTGAGCTGATGTGTCCACTACATCATCGTCTTCATCATCATGGTAGTCATCATAATCTTCTTCATCCTCCTCTTCAGCAGGAAAGTCCTCACTAGAATAACTATTTTCAAAGTTTGCAGTTGAAGCTTCTGGGTCATTTTCTTTAACTGACATGCTAAAGGCTGGATGGGAGTGCTCCAACGCCTGTGAAGCAATCTCAAATTCCTCTACCCTCTCCAACAAACAATCAGGACCAAGATCATATTCATCCAGCAGCAAAGCTTTGCTAGATTCAATTGCATGCTTCCACAGAGATAACATTTTTGGGCTTGTGTTCACCACATTGTTGTCGCCATGATTAGTTTGGTTGTCATCAGTCTCACCTGATGTCAAAAACATTACCACCTCGTTCAGCATATGTTCAACTGATATTTTACCAATATCAAACAAAGAGACAAAAATATTATATATAATTCATATGTGACACAAGATAGAAATTAACAATTCTTGAAGGCTGATTATAAAAGACAGCAGTTGAATAATCAACGAGCGGCAAGGAAAAGACCACCGAATATAGTATGTTTATCATCAATGCTTCTTAGGAAAATGGTTATTGGGGTCATCACATTTGTAACTTAGAGGATAAAGAGAGAGAAAGCTTAATCTCAATGCAATGAAAAATCATCCGGGTAAAATGAGTTACCTTCTCATATAAAATAACTTAAGGAAGGTAATTACAAAAGGAATTTCAAAGAACTTCAATAGATCAGATGCATCTCCACGTGTTTGTCTCGTTTGAAAACCATAAACCAACTGTAAAACTTCTTTCCTTAATTTCCTCACACTATCCCTATATAAAGGTGCCCAAGCAATTGTACAAGCATCCCTATAACATAAAATCTACTAAACTCGAGGTTAATTACACTATACCCCAAAACAAGCAATTAGCACACAAAATTCATGAAACCTCGAAGCAATGCCTTTCTAATGTGATTCTGTTAATAGTGATTCCTGAAATTTTCATAATAAACTCCACTGAAATACATAGAGAGAGCTTTGAGTGCTTGTTGGAATATTATCAGCCGGGGAATTGCATTAAATGCATGTTTTAAGAACAACCCATTTCTTTCCAAGAGCCAGGATTGCTTACAATAACCCTACGTTTTATGTATCTAGTTTAGGATTATATTGGAAACTCCCCCTTTTTTTAACGTTCCTTACACTTCCCATTATAATTATACACAAACATGTCTGCATACGGTTATTGATTTCACAAGAGTTAAATTGGGACAAGACATTCGCAAACATAATGGTTCAACCGAATTTACTTCCGGTACACGTACCTGAATTTTCTGAATTCCCTGTAAAACCAGCTTTTGAAGGTGTAAAAACTGGAACAGGTTGCTGGTACCTTGATTTCCAATCTTTGCCCCTCCACATCAATATATGTTCATCATCAAAAGACAACAGCACACAAGGTACCAAATCCTGCCAACACAAGACTATCAAAACGCATGCAGCACAGGATTCTATTTCAAATTATTGTGACAACACCTAAACTGAACATGACCTTGTATTATTATGAACAAATATATCAAAGACTTTAAAGAAAGTCCAATGCATAATTTGTTGTGTGATAAATTGTTACAAGTCGCTCATTATGCCCAGAGCTGATACTGAAGGATGGGTTGGAACCCCAATTGAAAAAAATATTAAATGACTGAAATTTTATCGGACTTGCCTAAGAAATTATCTTTTAATATTATTTAATTTCATTTTAAATTTCTTAAAACTAGATGAAGACAAGGTTGACATTCATTTTTTATTAATATATAAGATTTGTTGAAGATATAACTGTTGGATTAACATATAGAATATATTAGATTTTCATGTTGTTTTTATATTAAATAAAAGTCAAGTTGACTAATAGGATAAATCTGTTTTATCCCATATAGGTACTATCTTTCATCAGTTTATCCACTGATAGTTTCTCTTTTGCTCATGTTCTATAAATACGTTTATTTTATGAATAAAATTATGTCCTCTGCACGTACAATTCCTTTGACCAGCTCGAACAGGTTCAAAGTAGAGTGGGTGAAAATGCTCTGCATACCTCAACAGATTGTTGAAGCAACTCATTCAGGTATCTGTGGCAGTTTGTTTAAAGAGGTTGTCAAGGATGCAATTGCATCAGGCACTGATGGATATGATGCTGAAATCCAGAAAGCAGTAAGAAAAGCAGCACATGGCCAGCAACTTACTGAGGAAGTTTCTATGTCTAAAACAAGGCAGTAGCGAAGATATTTATTAGTTACATAAGTGCCTGAGCAGCTGGAAATCGTAGAGTCTGTAAAAGAACAAAAGAAGATGCTAGCTTTCAACGCCTTAGTTGTAACTAAGTTGGTGGAGGACATTACAGGGTAGCCAAGTTAGATTTCCACTGAAGAACCCGTGAAAGAAGAGGACATTACAAAAAGTGAGGATGACGACTGGGAGTCGCTTCAGACACTCAAGAAAATAAGACCAATTGAAGATCTTAAGGAAAAGTTAGGCAAACCTGGTTAGACAGAAATTACTCTTAAAGATTATATTTCTGAAAGGGATAGGCCTGACCTTTACAAAAATTACTTTTATGTCTAACTGGTGAAGTGACAAGGGTTCCATTTGGTGCTCAGATCACCAAAAAGAAGGATAATTCTAAGCATCTTCTTCCAAATCAGTTTGTTGGGATTCTGGGATTGAGTGATAATGAAATAGTGGAAGTGCACAGAGGTCTAGTTGAGCAAGCTTTTAGGAAACAAGCTGATGTCATTTTAGCTACGGAAGGTAGACAAAGGCCAGGTTGGAGCAGCTCTGTAAACTCCAGAAGCAAGTACCCTACCTCCAGAGTATGTTCAGAAAACAATCAAGATATGACTGCTGTAACTCAAGGTAGGCTCAATATGAATCAGATAAGGGAACTCAAGGAAGCCGATGTCGATTTAGACAGTATGGTATCTGAGAACTTGAGAGAGATCCTCTTCGAGAAAACTGTTGATAATATTTTCCTGTCTGGTACTGGAGAGTTTGGTGACGAGGAGTATGTAAAAAAATCCCATCAGATCTATATTAGCAAGATGAAGCAGATGGGTTGTTCACAAGCTTGCAAAAAAGACTGTCCAACTTGCTCGTTCAGGCAAGTGTCTCTACTGAGACAGAAATCACAAGGGAGTGGTTTCTTCACTGACTTGCTGGCTAGTCAAATTCATGGGAAGTGCCAGAATAGCTTACTGATACACTACATACATGGATAGCAATCAGGTTCCTGAGAATCTGTCTCGCTTGCAGTATGTGATGCAAATAAATGATTCCACAGCTGCTGCTCTCGAGGAGATTTGGGACATTTAAGTCATGAACAAAAGAAATTATGATACTACTTTCAACCCAAAATTTTAAGATAATACGTCTATGGATTTTTTTCTTTTTAAATGTTGTTTTTCTTGCCTACTTTTACCCAATGTGGACTCCAACTCTCACTCTCAGCATTTATGACTTCCTTCAACACTTTGAATTCATTTTATTAACTTGATAGTGTAGTATCTGGGAAATATACTTCATTATCAAATTTTCTGGAAAACTATCCAGAACACACAAATACAAAGACAACATTTAACTCTCACACTCAACAACAATACACTCTCTTAACTCTCACAAAATAACATGCAGCAGCATCATCCCTCTCTCTCTTTGTTTCTCACGGTGGTGCACACAATCATCACAACTCACAATAACTCAACACAATAAATAACATACTCAGTTTCTCTCTCTTGCCATAGGCTGCCCATTTATAATTAAGAAGGGCATAAACTTCCAAACATTAGTGGTGAATGCTTGGTTTAGTGGTGCACTTATTTTCACTTACAAACAAAGTACTTTGTGGCTACTTTCGGTGGTGTACTCTCCCACATATTCTTTGTTGATAAACTAGCAATTTTATGGAAATCCAGAATATTATAATCTCTCAAACTCACAATAGTAAGAGCACACTCAAAGTAACTCACAAAACACAGCAGTCCCCCTCTTTGGTTTCTTACGGTAGTGAAGCTCTCTTTCTCACACAAATAACTCACACACAAATAGCACAACCAATTTTCTCTCTTCTCTTGGTGTACGACACACACGGACACCCACTCTTTTTTCTTCTTCTCGGTGGTGTGTCTGCCTTCATTCACAGCTTCTTATTTTATAACATAGCAAAACATAAAAGTCCAAAAGAAAATATAGTGGCAGACGGTGGGCACAAGGGTAGTGGAAATAATGAGGTTATTAGAGAAACCATTTACTGAATGGAAGACCCATGGAGCTCAACTTTCCAATTCTTAATCTTTCTTTTAATTATGCTGCAAAACGTGGGCTGCTCATCGTGGAGTCCATTTGAGTTTACCAAACAGATACCCAGAAAAGATATCAAAATTGTTTCTTATGAGCATAGCTAGTAAGGAACAAAAAGAACAAAGCAAGCCACCACAGCAAACAGGGAGCAAAAGGAACATGTTGATATACAAAGCCTATCATGTTGATACCTTGAGTTTGGCACCAATTTTCTTGTAATCACTAGGATCCAATCCCTTGCAGTTAACTTTCACCAAAATACTTCCTTCAAAAGCATCTCTGACATCCTTTACAAGGGATGTATATACTCCATTTTTGGCTGTAACATTATAGAAGTACAAATTTAGAAATAAAAGCCATAACTCATGTCTTAAATTAATGTTTAATAACCTAAAATCAAGAATGTAATAGCAATAAAAATTCAAAATTGGAGAAGGTTGTGGAAATACAGATCAGAAAAAAAAAATCAAACATAATGACAGCTTATCCATTTTACTTTAGTAGATTTTAATTGTCTTTCCTTCACTATGAGATTTTGTACTAGTTCTATCTTCAACATCTTACATACTCTCACGAGACAACATACCCATTGTCTTTAAATGCTGCTGAAGCAATCAATATGTTTGCATAAGAAATGAAAATTTAATGGATTTGAATTTGAACAAGTTTCTATCATTTTTTTATAGTCACAAAAATCCAAGATTTGAGGACCCGGATTAAGTGTTGCATCTACCTATTTAATTTCTACTTCTATCATCTCTGCCACTAGGTCATTCTGTGTTCTGTCACTTATCCACATCCGCTTTTGTTTCTTGTTTTTCGAACAACCTTCCATTTTTGGTTGTTTCTTGCTGTTCTAACATCCAACTCAATGAGGCACCACTTCCGTTGAAACTAGGACCGTCTTCAACCAAGAACAACTTCGTCATTGGCAAACTATGAACACCCTTTTTCCACATTTTCCCTCTTCTTGTTCAATTGTGATGAAGTAAAGCCCTAACCACATTTGTGCTTTCGCATGTTCCTTCTTCAAGACCAATTCCATAATTCTTCAATTTCAGCAATACGCTTCAATTCCATAATTCTTAATCTTTGAAATTCTGGAAGCTAATGAAAGAAGCTGCAGGCTTGATCTGTGGTAATTTCTTCAAGAGATCAAATTTTCCATTTATTCGCCAATGAGATCCAAAAGGTTGGACAAATTGTTAAAGAGCCACCAAAGATTGATAGATATAAACAAAGAAAAAGAAAAAAATTGCAGAACAGAGAAGAGGAAACACAGTTATCTTCCAAGTGTTTCCCCCACATATCTTTTAATCTTCGTTCTCCATATTTACTTTACTGGTTCCCTTAACTAAGCAGTTGCACTAACCCTAATTACGTTCCCTTCTTTTTAGTCCTAATACATACTGTAGTGATACTCCAGTATTACTGATAAATACCCTTTATTAGTTTGTTACGTGTGTCTTAGGGAGTCAGTTAGGGTAGTTGGATGGGCTTGAGATAGTAGAAGAAATATCACATGTTGCCTATAAATAAAGAGGGCCTATAAATAAAGAGGGAAGGTTGATAAAGAAGTCATCTTATGATTTTGAAAAATGGGGACTGGAGAGAACCCTGGACTCTTGAATATCTAGGTAAATCCTTCATTTGTTTTATCTTTCAATCCTAGCCAAAGGCTGCTACCACATTGGCACAACAATAAGGATCTGGGTTCCAAAAAATTATTCGTTACTTTGGATTCTGAAGCACTTCTATCAATTATTAATCCTAATGAACTCTGAAATTGCAGAACTCAGACAAAAATTAATGGCACCAATTTATTTCCATGACCTTTAAAACATATATCAAAATAACGACTTCAAGTTTAGACAAAGTCTTGCCTCAACTTCTGTGACTTCAGTTGCTCCAGGCAAGAAAAATAAAGACAAAAGGGTACACTAAAATGTCAAATTTGTTCATGCTATGTGTTCATGTGCATGAGAAAGACAGAAATGAAACCCATTAGATGGTTACCTAATTTACAAATTGGTAAAAGACTTTTTCCCTTCATCCGTAATTCACCAGCTTCAGCTTTTGTTAATCCTTCTGGAGCATCTTCTATAAGTTTTGGGTAAACAGGAGCAGCTGGCTTCCAGAGCATCACTGGATACTGTGGACGAGTTCTATAGTTGTAATTTCTGCCACGGAAAAGGTACACTACACCACCAGCTCGATGAATTATTTTCCCCCCTGTTTTCTCCTGTCATGGCATACAAAGTTTAACTAAAAATAGACAAGGCATTGATGAAATTATTGTCAATATACCAATGAACAGAAGACTTTATTGAAGACAAGAAAATGCCTCAACTATGAAACAGAACCTGTCAGAACAGTTCGACTGAATATTGCTACCTTATTAAAAAATAATAATGTGAAAGAGAAGAAAGGGTACAATACAACAACTATCAAAGCCAGTCACCCCTGTAAATGTAATCTCCTACTCACTCAAATACAGCCAAATCATATGTATCTAAGAGCATATTTATTTCCTTACGCAATGTCATGTCAATTACTCCAATTGCAAAGTTTGTTATGTTTAAGTATAAGGAATCATTGTAAGCAATTGTGAATTGGAAATAGTCTAAAAGTTTTCTATCTTAGAGCATATTTGGATAACCTTATCCAAAAGTAGTTACAGGAGAAGAAAAGCGAAAGCTTGTGCATGTAGAAAAGAATTGTGACACACACAAAGTGAATAGATGCACTGAAACACACTCTGGTGATTTTTCATTGAACCATGACATCCTTTAAATAGGTGCACATAAGGCCTTGGACCAAGTACAAAGAATAAAAACAAAAAATAATATATCAATTGCTTAATCTAAATAATACTACTTATTCTATCTCTATCTATATCAACAATAGAATAATATTGCACCCCATTCTAATAAAAGAAAATCAAAACTACCAATCTTTATCTTATCTCTATCAGAATCAAACTAATATTACTAGCACCAAACTTATAACTGAGAATCAAAAACACTGTGACATATGTGGCAAAGATAAAAAAAGATTTAAAACATATCCCTAATTTAAGTTTAGTCAACAAAACTCTCCCATAAACTTAAATTTTTCATCCTTCATCCTTGCACTCTAGTTTTCCATGAGCATTATCCCACATCGGGCTTGTTTCTTCCAATCAGATTTGGATTCTTCATTTCTTCATGGCTAACTTATCCATTACTTTGATCGACTTTCCAATTACCTTTTCCCACTTCATTTTCATTATGGTGGACCTCTTCTTGACCTTAACCCACTTGTCCTTGACATTTGTTGATTTGTTCTTTGCTTTGGCCATCTTCCTAATAACCTTGCTGCCACCACGGTCTCCTGTAGCTTCAACTCCTTTATGATTTTCTTCACGACTACCCCCACACTCATCATTCATCATTCTACCTCTAATATCACTGTTTCTGAAATTCAATTTGTCAAAGGCTACTTCCCTATGATGGTGGTTCTCCCTACTAACATTTGCAGGCTCATGTTTCATATTGTTGTGTGCCAACTCCCTCCATATTAGGTTCTCCATTATGAGATTCTTCACTTTTTCATGAAGCATCCAATTGAACTTCCCTAAACAAAGTATCTCCTCATATTTTTCTGAGTTTCTTCTCCATGGCTTCTTGTATCATTTTCACCAACATATTTGATTGCCTCACTTGTTGCTCCTCGAGCTCCAATACTTTATCATGCTTTATCCTTGCAATTTCCATCTCCAGGTTTGCCACTCTCATCATCATGACTTCAACCATCTCTACCAATCTCTACATCACATCAACCATTTCTACCAAGCTCTGAATCATCATGGTTGTGTTGTCCTTGCACTTTGTTGAGCTACTAACATTCTTCAACAACTTTGTCGAGCTCTGCACGTCCTCTACATCTTTGTCGAGCTCTATAATTACTCGTCTGAGCTTCCTTCTTACTTTACTAGCCTTGTTGGGCTTTCCAACTACTCGTTGTTTGAGCTCTCCATCATAGCCTCTTCTTCTTCTAAGCTCTCCACCAAGCTTTGCACTTCACTTTCCACCAAGTTGCTCTCCATTGAGCTTAGATTCAGTTCGACATCAACCAACTCGACACAATCTAGATCTAGCTCAACACAACTCGAACTAAGCTCGACATCCTCTAGCTCATAGGTTCGCCTATGAGCTCCTTGACATCAACAGAACTATTTCTTCGCATCTTCCTCTATAAGAAGATTCTTCTCCTTCTTCTCAGCCCTACAAAACTTCACAATGTGGTCGGCCTTACTACAGTTCTAGCACTTCCCCGATCTACACTCATTTGCATAGTGGTTGTGCTTGCCACACTTAAAACACTCCACTCCTAATCGACCTCCTCAGCCTTCCCCTTGTCCTCGGCCATGCCAATTCTAATGTCCTTTGACTCCTCAATGGCACAAACTATGTTTTCGAAAACATTTGTTAAGGATCTTAGAATTTTCTCAACCACCTAGCTGAATGGCATTGGTTCTCCATTCCTACCGTGTTGGTTGACCACCTTCTCTACCCGAGTTATGTACTCGGTCACACATTCTCTGTCTTCCATCTTCAAAATTTCAAACTCCTCTATGAGAGTTTGTAGCCAAACCTGTCTAACACGGTTGTTCCCTCTATATGCAATCTCCAGAATCTCCCATACTTCTTTTGAAGATGCAGCTTTTGCTATCTTCTCAAAGCTTGATTTGCCCACCTGTACAATAGGTACAAAATCGATTTCTCTTTTAGTCGTGTTTTTTTTAACGCAACAATCCAGGCCATCGTGTCCTTCACGGATCCTTGGTACCCACTCCCCACTACATCCAATATGTCTTAAGATCCAAGAAGGACCTTCATTTGCAAACTCCAATCATTATAATTGGCTTTCTTTGACAATTGTAGTAGGGACACATCATCCACGAGGTTTGTCACCTCACTCACTCTCCTTTTCCTCTCATTGTTTCACTCTCTGTCTTTTCTCACCACTTGACACTCAAAACAAAAAGCTTTGATACCACTTTGTCGAAAAGAACTGTGACACACACAGTAAATAGATGCGCTAAAACACACCTGAGTGATTTTTCATTTAACCATTGAATCCTTTAAGTAGGTGGAGATAGGCCTTGAGCCAAGTACAAAGAATAAAAACAAAAGATAATATATCAACTATTTAATCTAAATGATACTTCTTATTCTATATCTATCTATATCAACAATAGAATAATACACAATAGAATAATCCACACTCCGATCTAATAATAGAAAATCAAAACTAGCAATCTCTATCTTATTTCTATCATAATCAAACTAATATTACGGACCCCAAACTAATAATTGAGAATCAAAACCACATATACGGCAAAGATAAAATAAGATTTAAAACCTATCCCTAATTTAAGTTTATTCAACAGTGCCTAAGTTAAAATAATAAAAAATAATCTTTTAAAGAAACAGGCCATAACGTGTTCTTATTACTTGTTCACAATCCATGTCAACATGCCCAGGAATAATCTGGTGCAAATGTTGGTATGTGGTATCAATATGCTCAAAGATTAATCTAAAATACATTCTGGTGTAAGAAATTTGCAATCACAACATACGAATCAATCCTAAAGAAAAGAAAAGGGATATTGTACCTCAATATGATGACATACATTATCCATATCAACAGTTGGAACACCTAAACAACGAATTTTACATACACGGCTACGCTTCCAATGTGAATGTACCAATTCCAGCATGTTATGCGTTAATCCGTCCCTTCCAAGATTCACCTGCCGATTATCTGACATCATCGGCTTAACAAGCATTTGTATCTCCCACCTCTTTAGAGGCTCCCCGAGAATCTCTTCCCTCGTCTTACCCTCCTTCGGAAACTGACCCATGGGAAACGGCCCCGGCATTTCCACGTGCTTCACGCCCTTCGTGCTAAGCGGTGGAGGATTGAACGAGTCGAACAACGGAATCTTCTTCTTTTTGCTCTTCAGCGGCGCCTTCCCCGTCCACGGTCGCGGCATCGTGGGCGGCGCGAACGGCAGAAACGCCGGCTCCCGAATCGCGATCGGCTTTGTCTTCGGCGTCTCCGAGTAGCTAAACTGGAACTCGAACGGTGCACCGGGGAGCAGGTACGACACGCCGGACTCACCAATAATGACGGACCGGTCCGCGTCGTCGGAGACGACTACGCCATCGTGTGGCACGGGCTTGTGATACTTGGAGTGGCGGTGGTATTTGAGGCCGGGATTCAGGGTCGGGGGTTGAGGAGGACGGTTTTGGGATTTGCGGGGTGGGGGATACTTGGGGACGGGTATTGGCGGTGGTGGAGTGGCAGAGACTGCAGGAGTGCGGTCGGCGGGTGGCGGCGTTGATGGTAAGGAAGAGAAGAGGTTTCTCCCGACGGGAAGAGAGGAGGATAATGCAACTACGACCATTGGAAGTTGGGACTTGGAAGCGAGAAAATTTGAAAGTGTGTTATTCCAACCTCATTACTTTCTTAAAATATCTCAGTGAAGTGCTGCACCTCTCGCTTCTTACTGCAACTCTCAAAAGATCTTTTTGTCCTTTGAATGAAAACGAAAAATAAAACACAAAAATATAAATAAATAAAAAACATAATTAATAAATAATCCTTTCTTTTTTATCGTATTTATTTTATTTTATTTCATTTAATTTATTTTGATTCGACAGATTTTATTTGGTTTGGTTTTTATTATATTTTTATTTTATTTTATTTTATTTTATTCCTTTTTAATTTATTTTGATTTGATTTGATTTATGTGATTAGATTTTATTTTATGGATTTTATTTTTATTTTGTTTGAGTTGTTTTGATTTTATGTTATTCTATTGTGTTTTATTTCATTTTATTTTATTTTGTATGATTTTATTTTATTTTGTATGATTTTATTCTATTTTGTTTGATTTTACTTATTATGTTTTATTTGATTTCATTATTTTGTTTTATTTGATTTTAGTTTTTTTATGGTTTCTTTCTTCATTTTGGGAAAGAAGTCACGAACACTTGCTGTTTATTCCACTGTTCTTCCACTTTTACTTGATACCACTTCCAGCCAAATTTTCTTTCGCAAGAAGGAATTGAAGCAATCAAAACAGAAAGAGCCTAGAAGAAACGAAAGGGCCTAGAAGAAAAACAAAATGAGTCTGGAACAGAGGGGAGAATTAGAGAAGGCTTCAAAAGAGCAATCAACTTGGCAAAAGGAAAGAGTGATGGTACATTCATCTTAATAGTTTAAATGTGTTATAATAGATGAATTTCTGTTTGTGTATTATGGACTATGATGTTAAATCTTTTTTGTCACTCTTATTTCATCCATCATCATTATTCCATTTCATTCATATTCTGTTTATTCACCATTAACTCAACCATAACTGCTCCCACAAGATTCTTAAGACAAAAAATTAATTTCACACAAAAGACAATTCATTACATAAAACATCTTCAAGTGACTCAACCAGTAACCCACCTTCATGACATCCTCATACACCCCTGCACTACCATCAGCCATCACACTACCATCCTTTACCAACATCTTTTGAACCTGCAACCAGAAACCATCAACAAAGCAATGCCTAGATAAGAATTATAACAATTCGAGAAAGCAGAAGTCAATCAACATAGTACCCTCTCCGGAAACAAATTCAATTCTCTTTTATCATATCTCTTTTCACTCCTTAAGCCAATCACAAGAAATACAAGATAGAACGCGAACCCTCTCGCCGGCAACCCAATCGCGACCTTATCTCCTTCTCAGAACTGCAGAGCCACCATGAAGGCTGTTTCGCGAGAACGTCGCACCTCCGTTCAACTCCACCATCGCGCCACCTTCGGCCATCTCCTCCACATCTGTCCCCTCCTAACTCCAATGTTCACTCACGTCGATTTCGGTCGCCGTAATTTCCGTCATAACCGTCGTCTCCGTCCATGCGGCGCCGCTCTTGCTTCGGTCACGAAGAATGAAGGAGAGGCTGCTCTCCTTAGGGTTTGTGGGATTCTGAAGAGGAAAAGAGAAGGAGTCACCCTGCCGTAGCTGGCCAAGAGGGGAAGGAATGGGGCAACCTTCTTCTCCTTGTTTCTGATTAAGGAAGGAAACCCTAAATGGGTTTGGCTTTAGGCCCGTTTTGGTTTCTTAAAACTAAAAATGCAGTTTGGACCTTGGGGCATTTCGTTTTTGACACCCTGGGAATTCATAAAAAATAGGTTTAATGTCTCGGTAGGTCCCTATTTTCGGCGTGAATCTCAAATAGGTCCCTTTTCTTTTCGGCGTCTCAATTGGGTCCCCATTTTTGTAAAATTGTAACAATTAGGGGTCTGCCGTCAAATTGGACAAACGGCCGTTTAATTGTTTCTTACGTGGCATGAACAGTGTTTTCAGTAATGACACGTGGCATGATTCCCATCTGACACGTAAGAAACAATTAAACGGCCGTTTGTCCAATTTGACGGCAGACCCCTAATTGTTACAATTTTACAAAAATGGGGACCCAATTGAGACGCAGAAAAGAAAAGGGACCTATTTGAGATTCACGCCGAAAATAGGGACCTACCGAGACATTAAACCTAAAAAATATATAAAATAATAAAAAGATTAAAATTAAAATAAAAAAGAATGGTTTTAGAACTTCATCTTTGTTTGTAAATAAATAAATAAATAGAATTTTGATTTGTTAGTTTAATTGTTGTGTGGATATTGTTTCTTTTAATAAAATAATAAATAAAAATTATAAAACCACAAATATTTGTTAAACTTTTATTGTTGTCTTTCTTTTTAAAATATGGTTTTTCTTAAATATAAAAATCTAAAATCTCATAAAAAAAGTATGGAATGGCAATGTTAGGGGTAGATTTTACTGGATTCACTCTCTTGCACACACCGAAACATCTCATCTCCATCAAATACTAATGTCAACCCTCTAAAACACTCAAATCCTCCGTTAGGTGAGAAAGGCTAGGTTTTTTAGCTAAGCGTCAATCCCTTGATCACTCAACAAGAAAACTCACATTAGGACCTAGGGTTTAAGACAACTAATGGGTTAAGCTACATTCTTAGACACTAGCCCCCACTAGATTTCTTGTTTCAAGTCTAGGGTTCACTAGATTCTTTCCAAAACTTAGAAAATCACAAATCAAGCTATCCATGTCCCTATTTCAAGCAAGCATTAAGAATGAAAACAAGATATTAGCATATAATGGAAGATGCATTTATATAATCAAATCGTTTACAAAATACAAGAGAGTTCAATTGCTACAAAATCTCCTAACAAGATGATTTGACTTTCCATTTCCATGGAGGGCGTCAAAGTTTACAAAAATGGATGATGAAAGAAGAAGGAGACCCAAGGAGGGAGAACAGGATGTTCCCACATGCGCTAAGCAACTTCCATGAGATCTAAAAGTGAAATCGCGCCTCCACAACGCGTTCCTGAGCTTCAGTTGTGTTCCCATATCCACAACTCACTTTTTCTTCCACTCTCGCAACTTTAAAACCCTCTCCAAAAAGTGCATTATCGCTGGGCCACAAAATCCTCTTAATGTGCTAGAGGTGTTCTGCTGGCAAGGCTAGCGGTGTTTGTGGCTCGAAAAGCAACTTCTGGCAACAACTCTCTATTATTTTCCCATCTTCCAATTTTCTACAAAATAAAACCAAAAATAGATAATTAAATCTGTCTGTGAAGACTATACACAAATCTCACATCTTTTCATGGAATTCAACACAAAACACATGATATAAGACAAATAAGGGATTCTAATAAGTGTGAATATATAATAGTTAATTATCACAGTTATCATTGGCTCCTCCTAACAATTGAACTTTCAAAGAATATATATAAAGGGAAGTTCTTCCATGGATAATCAACTAATCAAAACATAAATGATCACATAAATTTTCGTGTGTAAAAAAAGTAAAAAAAAAAAATTCAAATGTTAAGGAAAACCAATGTGTTTAGAGGACCAATTTATAAAGCTTAAATTTATAAATTTTTCATTCAATGAAGTTAAGACTTTAAAAAGGATGAATGTTTATTTGTAATATTGCCTCAACGAATGTCACTTTGGAGGTAATAGACTCACCCAACGGACCATGAAACTTGCTCAGCGAGCTGGTGCCCAACGTCATTCATTCTACACTCATCGTGAGTGTCTTATCCAAAGTTTCACGAGGAGCTTGCTTTCCATGTGCTTCTAGCATTAAACACAACACGTGTGTTTTTACGTGGCCTTTGATCCATCATTTGTACCTAATCATAAGGAACGTATCTAAGCATTGTGGGGAGGCTTGGATCGTTCTATAAAACAACCTCTCCCACACCATTATAAATGAATTTTGAGTTTTGGTAACGATATGTTGTGGAGATTACTCCAGCAATCATTCTTCTCATTGTCACCATCTAGAGAAAGAACTCAACCTCTTCTAACCACCCTTCCTTAGCTAAGAATCCTAGCTAAGCTTCTAGACTCTCCACCACACATCAAACACATTCACCGAACCACCTCTTTGCACCTCCTTCATGATTTTGTTTGATCCCTGCATCCATCTTTATCCATCTTCGTTCTGATACCATTAATCATGTTGCATCTCTGGATCTAGATTTGTGGATCTTTTTCCTTGTATCATTGCACCAAAACACTACCTACATAGCCTTTATCCATTTCCATAGAATTCCATTGAACACCGCTTCATCCCCATCTGTCTTCTATTCGAATCATCTAGTTAGCATTTAGTTTCCGCTGCATAAATCTAATTTCACTCTAGTTCAACTCACAGATTGGTTTGAGACTTCCAAGCACTCCTAGAGCGAGTCATCAAGGTTTGTCGGGTGAGTCTAGTACCTCCAAAGTGAGGTTTTGCCTCCCTTCTTCCTCTTTAGATGCTTCTTTAAGCCTTTCTTGGAACTCTTTTCCCTGTAAGTGATGGACCTTTGAGTGTGTTTTAGGCTTGGACCCAAGTCATCAGATGTTGTATACTTTGTACTTAATCTTACGTAGAGATTAAAAAATTGCTTAGAGAGACTTACTTTATAAGTCATAAGTAGCAAAGAATAATATTTATAATAATTTTTATTTGTATAACCCTTTGTATGTTTTAAAAGAGAGCTAAATGTAACCCAAACTTGGGTGAACTAATATAAAAGTGTAGTTTTTACTATCTTTTCTATTCCTTGAGTTATTTCTCTCTTATTACCTTAAAGCTTTCTAAATGTTTTTATGAACTTATTTCATAGACGACTTTATTAATGTCCAATGTCCAATTGGATTTACGTATAAAAATTTTCCAAAACCTTTTTAAGTTCTAGTTAAACTTTTATTTCGAGAACTAACAATTTTTTCCATAATTGTCATTCATGATAATGGTGGAGAGAATTTTTTGAAAGCTAATGTGGAACTTAATGTTGACGTTCAAATCAATCAATATCATTTTTGTTTTGTCTTTTTAATTTTGTACAATCTTAATTTTAGTCTATAAGAGGTTTAAGAATACTCTTAATTTAAAATTTTTAAAATAGTCGTACTTTTTACTATTTGACATTGTTTTTTAAGTTATTCTCATATATTTTAATATTATACATTCGCTTAATTCCACACCCTTTTAAGTCTATATCCCACCTAAATCTATATTTGGAAAGAGAAAAATATTGGATCGATAATTTTGTGACACATCAGACTTGGAGACAACACAAGTGACATTCGATATTTTGCATCAATCCATTCAAACAATTTCTTCTCAAGTTTAGGAGACATGACCTGAGCCGAAATGTTATTTATTGAGTGGCTTGATAGACTCTTTAGGATCATTGCGAACCACATCTTTGTTTAATTTCAAGTTTCGAACGACTTTCTCATCAACTCTGTATTATTGAACAATACTTCATATGGATTGAGGTTTGGGTTGCTCCAACAAAGATATAATCTCAGTGCTAACAATCATTGAGATGTAGACCTTAGCTTTTGCATTTCGTACCTCCCTGATTACTATTTTTTGCAATGAAACGAATTACTTTTTCAATAAATATAGTTTATTATATGACTCCTAATATTCCATAATTCTATGACTCTAATAATTTATAAATTCACATCCCACTTAATCCCCGCACCAAATTCTTCGTATAAAAATGTGGACTTAAGCAAATGTTATATCATACCATTTTCTTAGGTGTTAGCTTCTTTAAATATATAACATTATTTCTTTGTAAATTATTTCTTTATAAGACTGGGGACAATTTTGTTTTACCTTACAAAAATGTTGATTTTAAACTTTGATTCTTAAAAAGTAAAAAAAAAACAAAAGGTTAATATTTTTTTTGAAAAGTGAATTTTTTCAACTATGTATGGAATATAATTGATATGTTCACTAGTAAAAAATTGTATTTTTAACTCGCACATTACGCTTCGGTTTTTCTGGAACCGAAGCGTATCAAAACGCGATGACAGACTCGTAATTTTTGAAACACTATATGCCTCGGTTGCTTAACAATCGGTGTCTAAAGCGAATACGGCCTCGATTGCCAGAATGAAGTGAGGCATAAACCAAAGATACTGCCTCGGTTGGCAGATAGACCGAGGCATATAAGCCTTTCTAGCTTGGATTGTGGGACCTTAAAAGCCAGGAAAACCTAGCCTCGTGGCAGAGGAAACTTTTCCCCAAAAACGTAGCACCTCTCCTCTTCTCCTTTTTCTCGACGATGTGCGATGGCGATGAGAGCGTGGACGGTGCGACGAGAGAGCAGCGACGATGCTGCGATGGCGGAAACTCTTTTCTCATAGAGCGGTGAGGACGCGGCGGCGGCGGTGGCGTGGTGGCGATTAGGCGCTAGATCTGCGTTTCTCTTCATTGGGTTTTTGGTTTTGTTTCTCTACAGGTGGATGGCGAAATGAATTTGGGGGTTCTGCTTCTTAGTTTGCTCTGTAGCTTCTGATTGCTCGCTGGGGAAGAAGAGACCGAAAGAAGGGAGCATCTTGATGGCAACAGTGAAGTGGTTGAAGCATCCCTGGTAAACATTGCTCCAATCTCCGCCGGATTTCAACCTCAACCGCTCGGAGAAGTTTTCGGTGGCCAACCAGATCTCCTCCGCCACGAAAG